AAGCATATGCAAGGATATCAGTGGGAAGAACAGAGCTACAGTCATCTAAAGTATAAACAACACAACAGTAATAAATATTATACCACAACAACTGAATTCTCAGTTATGATTGGTCAGAAGGTGTTGACTAATTAGCTGCAGGTGTAAGGTTTATATGGTCTTGTATGGCCGATGTTCCATCTAAATATAAACCATTTAAAAACAGCAGTCCAAATAAAGTCACTTTCAGCATACAGAAAAGGCTGTACACCCAGAGCTCCAGATGATACTCATATGAACAGCCTTACTGATCTAATCATACTGCGTTCCTTGTTATAGCTGATTTCAATCAAATATAGTGAGACATTTCTCGCACAAACACTATATCCAGGGAAGGATTCCTGACCAAGCTTACTGGGCAAGTTCCTAGAGGCCCTGGCCACCGGGAGGTCCTCAATAAGCATATATTTGAAGTGAATGATTGGCTGTTATCCTAATTCGCAAACAACATATTTCATAGAACCGAAGTCAATTATTGTTAAGTAACAGAAATGTTTTTGGAGTGCAGGACTGAATTTGTAACCTATGAGCAGTAAGTTAGGGCCTAACTGTTTTAACCCTCGATAAATGTGTGTTAAAAAGGAACTAGACAATGTTGAACTAAAATGGGCCAAAGAAGACAACATGCTGTCAATGCCGACCATTGGGTCAGAGCTTGTTAAACGGCTGCATTTCGATGATTTGATGGATGATTTTGTGAGGAGAAAAACAAGAAAGAAGTCAGTTGCCTAAGGTAAGAATGCTTTCTCTGTATCATTAAGGTTAATCAAAAACTCTTAATCAATGTGTAGCGTAGTAATGTATGCATTTTATTTTGCATGCGTTGGGTTGTGGGGTGAGGGGGTCAAGGCTACGTGTATTAGCTCATGCATAATCCCTGAAGCAGGATATGCAGTATTCGACTTCGTTTCAGTTATTCAATACATGTCTCATTTGTTTCAATTATTTTACTTTGACTCTCGCTCTCTCATTCCATGTCCTCATCACACTCTCTCTCTTAGTCATGGACAGAGGGGGTACATGTCAGAGCTGATTAGCTTTACACCCCACCATGTCTTAAGTGTGCCCTTCATCCCCAAACAGAATGACACAACCTTCCATGGCCTCTCCATCTGTCTATTTTAGTCTTCCACCATCGGCTGCGGCTTCCAAGAACCTGGCCATAATTTGTCTTGCCTTCTCTCTTCTCCTCTCCTCTCTCAGCCTCCATTATGGTGCTGGCTAGAGCACACCTGCATTCATAGACCTGCCGGGGGACATGAAGATGGATTGGCAAAAAGAGGAAGTGGGCCTTGGCTGGCCCATCAGCAGCCCTCATTCAGCCAGACTCCCTCAGACAGGGCCCCAAGAGAGAGACAGTGATGTGCCATCAAGCATGGAGTACAACCACTAACCTAACCCAGATCACATAGTCACATGACTCAATTCCACAGACGCTCGTGCCCCGTCTACAGCCATAGCCTGAAATAGACTAAAGAGGCTAAAAATAAGAAACATTAATAATTCTTTTTTCCCAACCTGTGCTGCCGGAGGAAAAAACACTCTTGCCAGAAAAGTGGCTCACAAGGGGCTGTGTTTGGTGCACCACTAAATAATTCATACACGTCCTTTAATTTTCCATTTTTAAAGAGGGGAGGGAGAAAGTGCTGCCGAACTCGTGGGATTTCCTGGGACCATTTTAGGCCACCGATGTCCAAGTGTTCCTTTTTTATTCACAGAGACATGAAGGAAGCGTAGGAAAGCCGTTGGATTTATAAAAAAGATTGTTTTGTTGCTTTTTTATAGAATAAAGAGCAACACTAGTGTTTTGCTAAGCACTTTGAAAGAGGCGGATGATAAAGTATGTGTTGGTTAAAAAGGGTAATGAATAGAAAAGAATGAAGGTCCATTTCCGTATCTTAAAAATCACGAGGAGAGAATATGCAGAGGAGAACTTAGGTGAAGTTGTTTTTTCTGATTTAAAGTGCACCACTTTACTATACACACAAACCCACCCCGACACACGAATCTCTGTCACTGCCATCACATCTGCATCCTGTCAGTGTCACAGCCCTCTGAATGGTACATCTCTTTACTCTGAGAGTTGGCTGTATTTACAGCATTTACTACAAACCTTAACCACAAATATGGCCGCAGAAGAGCCAAATGCTTCAATGACAAGGAAATAGTAAATAAATCACTGTGGCTCATATACGCAGTACAATTCTTCCAATGATTTTTAGTATTGAAAGAACACAAGAATTTTTTGTGTTTGGATTTGTAAAGTAGTTATGCAGCATCTCGTGTTCTTGAGATTGCACCTTTCACACAACTTCAATAAGGCAAAGGAAAGATATTGCAGCTTGGTGTGAAACTGTGCGTTAACTGTAATGTCAAAAATGCCATTGCTGAATATTGCAGCGGTAATAACAGAACAGAATGGAAAAGGCAAAAAGCAAAATTTATTCAGTGTGTTTAATGTAGTGATGATTTTACCATCTCATGGCACTGGGATCATTCAATTTAAACTATAAATGTCAGGATATACAGGGTTATATTTTTTTTGGTAAATTCTATTTAAAACATTCCATGACATTTGCGTTATGGATTATTACATTTATGTAATTGAAAGTTTTATAATTATTATTATTTATCTTCAGTATTCATCACTTTATCCTGGTCAGGGTGGTGCTGGATCCGGAGCCTATTCCAGGAACACTGGGTGTGTGTGGGAATACACCTTGAATGGGGTACTATGCACACACACACACACACACTCATACCTAGGGGCACTTTAGCATAGCCAATCAAAGAAACCGGAGAACCTGGACAAACCCACACAGACACAAGGAGAACACGTGAAACTCCACAGACAGACAGCAACCTGAGCTCAGGATCGAACCAGGGCCCCTGGAGCTTTGAGGTGGCAACACTACCCTCGGCCTCACCATGCTGCCCTCTTACCGCACTTTCAGTACTACAATTACATAAACTAAAACGAGCAGTCATGCTTCCCTTAAATGTGAATGATATTATTATTACACATACTATCAATACCAAGGTTTTTAACACAGGCTATTTTCACCCTTATAGTTATTTTATTATGTGTATATTTCATATTTCATGCTATTCTAAACAACCATGTCGTCCTTGCCTTCATCTTTAGTCACGTTTTGTACTGAGACCAAAATCAGCACAGCAGCATTTCCTTACATAGCACACAAAAGCACTAAAGCACACTGGGTTAGAGATTTGCAGAGAAAATGTGATAATAGGAATTGCACTCAGGTGTGAAAAGCACAAACAATTAAAGAGCATGCAAACACACACACACACACACACACACACATAAACACACATGAATGCAAATTTTCCACCATTCAAATTACTATTTAGCTGAAAAGCATGAGCATAATAATTTATCATCAATCAGATTAGGTCTATTAAGTACATTTAGAATTACAAATGGAATTCACCATATTTGTCATATTTAATTTTCTGCAAATTTGTTGGTACACTAAATATATAAAGCGCACTTTTGTCAATATTTTGGATTCTGTGTTGTATTTTATGACATTTACAAATCTAAGGACTGTCTACATCATACAGAAGTACATTCACACAGACACACAGTACCCCCACCCACATGCGCGTGCACACACACACACACACACACACACACACACACACACACACACACACAGACAAACAACAGATCAATGCAGATAGTGCTGGCTGATCATGACAGGCTACCATGTATACATGTTGATGTTATTGCCTCATCTCACACTCCTCGGAGGACAGTGATAAGACTTTGAGCTATAGAAACAGACAGCTGTCAGAACGTCTTCCTCTCCTCAACCAAACTGCCAACACCATCCTCATCTTCCTCCCACTCGGCCTGCAGGGCTCTTTCTGAAACAACCACACACTCTCTCGCTTTAGCAAGCAGCTGTGCTGTAGCGACACGCCGTTCATGTCTGTGCACATGCCATGCTGAGTGCATCTATATCATAGAGTCTCAGCGTTTCATTCTGACTGCTTGAGTAGTGAATGGAACGATGATGGGGGTGAGCACAGCAGCACTGTGTTATAAAACACTTTTGCACCCTCTGAAACAATGAAATCATGAAAATGATTAAATGTATTGTTGTCATTATAATGAGTGAGAAAATAAAGGAGGAGGAATTAATACCAAAAAGCAGAGGCACATCTGTACTTCAGCAGTACTTTGGGTCTATTCATATATTGTGAAATATTTATATATTGTCATATATATATTTCCTCAAATAGAATATTGTATCTGTTTGTACCCCTTTTCTGTGGCTGAATC